CAACACAATGCTAATAATATACGGTGTACACAGATATCATGTTGCAGTTTATTACCATAGTAAAATATGGAAATTAAAGAACACGTACATACAAATATTGAATATAAATGACTATAGCAACAGTGCCCGGCGGCGTTGTCCGTGCCAGAAAAAAATACAGTCAAACAATGAACCAAGTAACCTGCGCGTATCTATAGTAACTACTGTTCGTTGTGCATACCCTCGAGACTATTATTATTTCTTTTTGTTTTATTTCATCCGTATCACGAAAAAATTTGATTTCCGTACGAAAAATACCAACAACCCCGTGTAAGACCCCCCTCCCCCTTATGGTGGATTTCGGAACCTATGAGTTATTATTCCATCTAAGCAAAGTTACAGCTCTATCTATTACCGGTAGTTTTTGGCGTAAAGGGATAACGAACATCCGTCCAAACAAACATTCACGTCTATGATTACTGTTGTAGGTTAACTATAAGAAATAAACATGTACCGTTGCGGACGTTTCTGCAGGCCTTTTTGAGGTTATACAATTCCGTAGTACATTGTTTCGACTTATGAGTCGTATGTTTTTGCTAGAGTTAGCAACGTAGACGTTCGAAAATATTTGATTACGACTTGATTACAAAACGTCGATTTTTGTCTACTTTTTGTAAATATAATATAAATGTATAAAATATAATATAATCATTCAGGAATGAATTCTTTAAATCAAATAAAAATCTTAAGGAAAATCGTCTTTTGGTTAAATAATACTATTTAACTTTCTTGAATTTCCGTTAAAACTATTACAGCTTTTGGTTAATGCGTGTATGCTTACATTATAACTGTATAGGTAAATAGCTACTATGTTATTTTTGTCGGTATTTGTTTTCGTTATTTTAACCAATCCTCAAACTTAAAAGTAAGAACATTAACTGTATAACCAAATAAATTTGTTCGATATTTCAATTTTTTACATTAAATACGGGTATGTATTAATCCATTTGGAGTTTTTTATTTTAAAGGCCATCCCGAGTAAAAATATGGCTTTCAATTAGTCGTGTATTTGCTTATGTACGTTTGGGTCGATTAAAAACGCTTGGAAATCGTACAGATGATGGTTAACATCATAAGATGCACTTATAGTAGTGATTTTAATGTAATGATTTGTGTGTGCTTTAACCATTTCAAGCAGTTCAAATTACGGCATTTTAAACATGTTTCACCGAAATTCGCTAGGATATTTTTTACAACAAAATTTGAAAGTCGTTAAAAAGCTGAACGTTTTTTTTTTATTATTTTTAATTTTCCGACAACGTAACCAACCGGAAGTTCGTATCGTTTTGTTTTTTCCCCCGTCCGCGAATAAAACCATAGTTGTAACGGCCGCGGGGCCTTTGCGGACCGCTCGCGAAATTCCAAGGATCGCAGCCGCCGCCTACAATCGGGAAACACACGCATGCAAGTTCGTCCCGGCTAGAAAGTTCAGATTTCTGTATTACACGTCCCCCGTTTCGGATCGCCGCTTTATCGTCCGCTCGAAAACGTATACATTATGCAAATTTCTCAGAGTGTACGCGTACCTATATAATGCCGGGCGTAACGAGCAAACGATATTTATGTTATTATGCGTATAAGTATACGTGCCCGTATAACATTGGTGCCGGCACCGCCCGACCGCCCGGACTTTAGCGAAATAATGCGTTCGACCGCGCAATAAACGGACCTAACTGCTCTTCTTGCCGCGCGCACGAACCGTTTTCCGTCGATTTATCGATATTATAATATTACGTGTACCGCCGGCGGCAGCGGCGTAATTACGAGGGTGCAAATTCCCCCCCCCCCCTCGGTATAATGTACGGCTGGCGCAAAGGTACGGTTTTGCACCTGCCGAAACCGGACTCTAAATTCAAATACTACGAATTAATAGAATATTACTCTATTTCATTGTTTTGTTGAACTTTTCGGATAAAATATAACGGAACTGAACAAAATTGATAGAACGCAATTAAAATTAGTGTATGGTATAAAACTATAACTCACTATCAGTAAAATATGTTTCGGTTTAAAAATTTCAAGTCACTTTATGTTAGGTGCAAATCACGTATGTCTTGTTAAAAGTTGAGGATCATACAGATAAATAATTTTAAAATGATCTTAGTATCTTAATTCAAGTAAAAAAATCAATTCCTTGTTGAAACTTAATCGTAAAAATAGCTTCAGTCGTGTAAAATAAAGTCCAATTGAAGACTTATCAAAGAGGTCGGTTAGGTTAGGTTATGATTTTTCAAAAGCCGCTTTATCGCGTAAATCGATTAAACTCGTTGTCGACTCATTGTGGTACAGATTGTATGCATATGAGCAAGTACTCCGAAAATTGCAAGATAGCGTTTATGTATGTGGAGTTGTTGACGTTTATTGAAATTGGTGTATTTTGCAACTGATAATATACTAATATAGCATACGTATAATTAGTATCGGTTGGTCAATGCGTAAAAAAATTATAACATTAATATTGCAATAATATTTGTTATATACGCTTAGTAACGCACTGTTTCATTATACCTGTATTCAGTTATTTGCCTTTCCTGAACAATTTCATTTTTGTAACATACACCGACCTGGTTGATAAGTCTTCAATTGTCTAAAGTCACTTAAAAACCACAAACAATTGATTCTAAATGTCTACATAATGGTTAACACGAAAATAGGCGCATTATTAAATATTAAATTGAAATAATTATTATCAACGATTTTGAACGATTTTTTCAAAGTTCTGTTTTCTCTTCCTGAAACCTAGCGGTTTTTGACTTAAGATATCTATACCACGCGTCTAACTTTATCTAATAATAATTATGCGTTACCAATAATTGGTATTATATAGTCTTAAATATTATAAAAATAAATATTATAGAATATAATTTTAGGTGCATAATATTTATAATCGCATGGTTATATTAACTATGTATCCTCCAGTATTTTCGTGTCGCCGATGCTGTCGTTCCTATATGTTCACAGCGATCGAAAAAAAGAAAAATTTCGTCATGATAATACACATTCTTTTCATTCGTTCGTACCACTTATTCCCACTAAAACCTAATAAAAATGGTATTTTTTTCTGTTGTCTATAAATGTAAAATTGTACAGGTTTTAACAGGTACAACTGCGCTCAGAATCATTTTTTCGTTAGCAATGGTTTATGTTTATCGTTTCTTTCAGATATACATTCATTTCCTGAATATATCCTACCTTCCCAACTTCCCACCAACAACAGTAACTACACCCACATGTGAAGTATGTCGGTTTTTTGTTTTAATGTACGTTTGAAGCTCAGATTTTTATGAAAATCGATTAATCATAAAATCATACAATTGTATACGGATATTATTTACCTTATGTTGCTGAAAATACGTATCGGTTGCACTTTCAGTACCAAAATGCGCCAGAGTAACAAAAATTGTCGGTATGCTTACTGATCAATGCTATTTGTTTATTTTAACGATAATAAATGTAGCAAAACCACGCGCTGGCTAATAATTTTGGCAATAATATTAATTTTGTTTATTAAACTCGTATTTAATCATATCGTAGTAAATTATGTTTCTTAAATTTGTTTTATTAAGTGTTGTTTTTAAATGTTTATTTTTATAAATTGTTTTACAATCTTTCTTTGAACTTTATCATCAGTTTGTTAAGTTTTCTTCTTCGGTATAATAGTAGTGTTTTTGTTTTTTCTCTATCTTTTCGTAAATTTTTTTTTTCCTTTATGGTTCTTCTCCGGTTTATTTGTACGTGATCTCTTCAAGCTAAGACTGCTGGTAGTTGCGGATGAATTCAAGGGACGTGGATTAAGATTCAGTTATCGTATTATAGAGTGTAATGTTGTAGATTTAAGGTAAGGTTAGGTTAATCGATACAGTGGATTAGGCCTACTCGGGGACACCACTATAAAAAAAACGCGCCTCGTGCAAAACCTCATACGCTTTTCGAAAAACGTCAAATGCTCGTAATAATATTTCATTGGCGTTTATCGATAGCCAAGGTGGTGCGGAAAATTGCACACGGGTCTTATACATATCTTTATTGCAATCATAGGATAACATTCGATATTTTAGGCATTATATATTTTTTGAAATAATATTTGTTTAATATTGTACAGATTTTGCCGGTTTTTCTACGTTTATCCCGGTTTTCCGATGTTTGTTCCCAGTTTTCACATTTTCTGAGAAAACTCCTGAGGAAATCGAAAAATGACCTCCCTATAGGAACTCTCCAGTCCGATTTCAATTACAATTATACATTAAGTTACCGATAATAGTGGCTGCACCCGTCTCCATTATCCTAGGACAGCTTTTTTCTCACTATGTAAAAATTTTTTTCGTTTTTGAACTGGGGGTACTAAATTAAAGTTTGGGGGTGCTGAAGGAATATTAAGGATTTCATAAATTTTTTTAAGACATTTTCAACTCGATGAATGAAGAATCACAAAACAATTTTAAAATTTAAAAGTAAATTTCGTTCAAATTTTATTACTAATAATAAACAGCGGACCGTCGTCCCCGTTGGACGGAAATGCGCTATTCCGCCGTCGCGTGGTTGTCGGAGACGGACGACACGGCACACGCGGGTAACGATCGGGGACACTGGCCCGCGACGCTTTCCGCGCACGGGCCCGTTCGCCGAACACGCGTCCGTGACGTAGGTACGCATAATCGTCATCTGGCTCGGCGGACGAGCGGAACGGCCGCGGTGCGCGCCCGACAACCTTCCGCGCCGCCGACGACGTAATGACCGCTCTCGCGCCTCTGCGGCACATGCCGCGCGCGTCATAATACGCATTACGGTACACCGTCACCGTCACGTGTGCCAGGGCCGGCCAAACGGTGGATCGCGCATTCGACCGGTAGATCGCGCACGATACCGATGTCGATGCTTCCTCCCCCCACCCTTTGCTAGAACTTATTATTTTTGTTCACAATGTGTAGACGAATCGCGATTTATGACGATTTTTATGGATCGTTATTTCGTCGTCGGTTTATCAATCAGGTAATACAGTACTGGGACGGTGTTTTCACTGGCAATTTTTTTTCCCGGTATATTTAATTCATATAACTGTATGTACACTGTAAACTGCATTATTTGTGCATGCGTGTTTATCATTAATACCTATTATCAGTGGCGCGGCTAGGCCATTGGGGCTCCGATGATAAGGTAAGTCTGGGGCTTGTTATTGGGAATATTATTTTTTAATACTGAATATTTACCATTAAACGCGCTACTCGATTTTTATTAATTATCAGCGGAATAATAATATAACATAGTTATAGTTAAGTTATAATATTAATAAATTACAATAATGAACAAAACAAAAAATACGCAATTTCAATTATAAAGAAACAATGTATGATTCATGTTAAATGATCGCAGATTTGGTTTGAATACATTGCGTTAAAAATAACCTCCCAGTTTACAACTATGTTAGCACCCCTTTTGAGCCTTGGTGCCCCGATGTTAGGCATCGCCATCCACCCAGGTTATTGCGCCACTGCCTATTATAGGTAATTAACACAATCGTAACATTTTTGTATGAAAGTCGATCGTCAAACACATTCCTAGTAGATCTGTACCGAAAAAAGTTTGGCCGCCCCTGATGTATACATATTACCGATTTTCCTCCTGCGTGCGTAGGCACTACGTTCCCGCAAAAAATGAGCCGCCCAAAGTTATTGTAAACAAACGTAATATATTCACGTGCTACAGTTAAAGCCCAAAATCCGTCGAAACACTACAGGATTAATTATAGTCAAAATAACATTAGTTTCCGTAAATCCCTCCCGTAAAAATATTGTTGAGTAATTAAAACTCGATCTAATCCGGACCCTCAACTCATTGGAAACTAATTTTAACTTAATTTTTTTATTTACAAATTAGTTGTGTTTGAAATAAATATATATTGGTGAAAACTAGGATACTATCTATACGTGCATAGGTGTTATTACGGGGTAGCGAGGGATAGCAACTGCTACCCCACCATTTTTATCGTGTTACAGATTAATAACTACTCTAACCTATGTCAAGTTTTTTTATTTTAAAGAGAGTATAATTGTCTTGCATTTAGATTCTGAGTGGAGCGAAGAAGCTTATGGTTTTACAAAAATGTTTATTTTTTTTTTATCAGCGCGCAATTTCATTATCAGAAGATTTTCTCCGATTTTTAAGTGAAGTATTTTTTCTGAAAAAAAATCAATGTGACAAGGTACTTAAAACAGGTCATTTTACGATATTCCCAAGAATTTTCCAGGCAAATGTGAAAAACCGGGAAAAACTTAGGAAATATGGGAAAATCAGTACAACATTAAACAAATTCTAGACAATTTTAAATTCTAGAAAATATAGAAAATTTATTTAATTGTTATTTAATATATTTATTTTATTTAATATTGTTGACAAAGCATCACTATCAACTAAACTTCGTTCAGAATCGTTTTTTAGTAAGCAATAGTTTAACTTTGCTTAAATGTATACATTAAATTACCTATAACAGTAGCTGCACCCGTCCCCATTATCCTAGGATGTCTTTTTTATGATATGTCCATACCAATGTTAATAATTATACTATCGGCTATATTTAATTTGAACGTATATAAAGATCAGTGAACTGATTACTTACACGGGGTGATCAATCTACCGTAAGACACTCATTATCTCTGAAAGTGTTTTTTTTTTTCAAAATTTCAGGTACATTTAAGAGACAAACTGTTTAAAATTATTTTTTATCACCTTAATTTTTGGGGGTGAAATGACTACAGACTGATGATTTTCAAATGACAACCTATATCAAAAATTCTTGATTTCTGTTAAGCAGTTGACGAGATATTCCACTTTAAAGTTTAGGATGACAAAAAATCACATAATTATACAATTTTAGAACAGCTTATTTTTTCAATGTTTTAGAAAACAAATTCCGAAAAAAGTTAATACTTTTCGAGATGACGAGTGTCTTACGATAGATTGATCAACCTGTAAATATATAGTTCTAAATTTATTTGATATTTGTGGACCTAATTTTAATAAACAATTGAGTAGGACCTGTTTGATGATTTGAATTAAAACTATTATTTAAGATGCTTGCTATAAAGTACATAGTAGTAATGTCGTAATGTATATTTAAAGCTGCTCGTTTCGCAAGTAGCCCAAAATAAAAAAACCAAAAAAATATAGTACTTCCCGAGATAATGAGTGTCTTATTAAATATTGGTCATCTTGTAGAGTTGCTAACCAGGGGCGGCTCCAGGAGGGGGAGGGGCTAGGGACAAAAAAATGATGTACTATCGACAATTTCAGACACGTATAAGTGTGTAGTTCATCTACAATCTGTATAGTACGAAGCATGAATATACATATAAAATATGTTTTTAATACAGTTTTCAGAAAAATAGAACTAAGTTTCTGGAGCTGCCCCTGATGAGCTACTTGATTTCTAAATTTTTTCAAAAAATAATTATGAATAAAGTTCATACTTCCCGGCATAGTTGAAAAGTGTCTCAGGTTATATTCAACGCAAAAACAAAATTGAGAATAATATTATTTTTCAAATGTTCTCTTTTATTTAAAATATTCAACTAATATCGATACGTAAAGAAGTATCTAAAACGTACATAATGTGTATTTTACAGTATGTTTTTTTTTTTGATCGTGTTCCAATATGATAATTAATCAATCACAATAAATCGACGATAAAAATATCTGTTGAATGCGTTTATGAGTCGTGGAAAAATTTGTAAATATAATTAAAATAAAAGATAGTTAAAATCGAAATTATCTATATAAAACACTATTTATCAGGATAAAAAGAAAGATAAATCTGTTTTAATTTTATTTAATCTACAATTTTTTTGTGAATTTATACTAGATTCTACAATCTCAATTTTTATTAGAATTTAGAAATAACATTAAATAAACAAGGATACTATTATTATCTATTATTTTATGTTTTTAATTTTGTTCTCTATTTGTACATGGTTGGTTTACTAATGATACATGGGTTTTAAATTTCAAGTTAAATTTTTCGAATTTTCCAGATAGGTATATATATTTAGTTATCTAGATAAATTACGTTTGATAACTTAATTATTCATTTAAGAATTCATCAGATAACTAATTTTGTTTTTTATCTAGGTAAGATAAAAGATAATTAATTATTTATCTAGATAATTTATTTAGATAATTTATCTAAATAATGCTCAACACTGCCCGTGGGTCTTTTAGCACATTCAAAATCGCAGATTTTACAGCTTGCTATTGGTCTTGTCGCTTAAAACCGACGGCGTATTATCGTTGTTGTCCCTGTATTATTTAAGGTTAGGTACTATGAGATTTTTTACGAAAAGAAAAACGTTCCGAACGTTTCGACGAAATTGAAAATGTCCCATCGATGCTGGTTTTTTGACTAACACAATGTATAATATATTAGTGTATACGCGCATATTATGTATACGGTGAATTCCGTACGTTCCTTGTCGTTTGCGTTCGACATTTCCGGATCGCTGTACAATAATAATTAAATTGACCCGAATTTGGTTTACGATTGGAATCCATGTCAAACATCATGTACAAAGCGCGACGACGATAAAAATCGACTGTAGGTAATATTATTATATATACGGTGATTCTTTCAGCGATTTTCCCGGATGGTTTGAACGAAATTTCATTAATATTTTTATTTTTTTCTTCAATCGCCATGGAACTGTTTAAGCTTTATTTTAACACTATTTTCAAATTATTACTCGACTCTTTATACCTTACATTATACTCTATCGTATGTGTTTACATTATATGATTTTCATATAGCCACCCGGGGCGGGGGTTGTTATTCTTTTCGCCCGCCCATTATCTCAACAAAGATTCGAAGAAATAGTATTTTGATGTACAATAAATAACTGAATACTACAATAACACTAATATAAGATTATAGTACAAATTATGGCAAGTTAATACCTATTGACGCTATGCGATTACAACATTTCATAATCTTGGCTTCATTTGGGAGGAGGCAATGTTCAAAGATTAAAAAACACTCTACTCTAGCAACAACGTGGTGTGCTTTATACTGGAATTCGGCCCACTTTTTTTTAACTTGAGTCCGCCAATCGAAACTATTCTGAGCTGAGTGAAGAATGTATCGGTATTGTTATGATGTGTTCGTTTTTGTTTTTGTAACTGTGAGCAATTATTGTACCAGAAATCTTGTTTCAATCAAAATATAACGAATGGCCAATTTTTCGTTTCATTTTGGATTTAGTTTATACTAAAGCAAGACGTATTTTAATTTTCCAATCAGTTTTCATAATAATTAAGAAAACCCAGGAAAAAACTAATAAAATACGGGAAAGTTTATGGCGTAGTGGTTTTATTATTTTAGACTCTGAGTGGCGCGAAGAAGCTTATGGTTTTATAAAGATATTAATTTTATTAATTTTTTTTTTATCTGAGCGCAACTTTTTTACCAGAAATCTTACTCCTAGTAGCGGCTTTTCTGAAAGGAAATCGGTGCGGGGTGGTACTTTAGGGAAGTTTTTTTTTCAAATTACTCGATAAAGTTTTCCCGATAAACGGAAAAAACCGGGAAAATTGGTATAACGCTAAGCAAATATTACTAAAGAGAATATTTAAATGCGTATTATGTAATTATTTTACCGTAATATGACACATATGTTGTTGACAAAGGAACGCTATATCAACCGAAATCCGCTCGGAATCGTTTTTCGCTAGCAACGTTCAACCGTCGCGTACAGACACACACCCTCTACCTTCCCGGCTTCTTACCACCTGCAACAGTGCCCCCCCTCCCATCGTGCGAGGTGCGTCCGTATCTTTTAATCGGTTGTTTACGCGTACAAGGCGGACAACTGCGCGCGGTAAATGCCGCGGGCACGGGCTTTAACGTTAACGACACGGTCGTCAACGGGGATAGCGACTACGGCTCGGCGGCGCGCGCGCACGCGCGCGCTCGTCAACGACCGGTTGGACGGTCCGGGCGACGGCAGTACACGTCGGTGAGTCGAGTCCGAGTGGAGCGCCGCAAAGAAAAACAACAGTTTACTACGCTATTATTATAAATTTGTATTGCGGTCGTCGCTGCGCGGGCGCATCGTATTTTGGAAACGACGACAACGGTGCCGGCGATGACGCAACAAACGTCCAGACGAAGTTTCCGGACGGCCGGCGTCTCCGCGGTCGCGTTACTGATGTTGGCCTCGCGGACGGTCACGGTCACGACGGAAGGTAAGTCCGTTCGCCGCGCGCGCACCTCACTGCGGTTTCGCCGCGTGCCGAATCGCGTCGCGATTTACCGGACAGTTTCGATGTTCAAAAACGAACGGAAATCGGTCCGTTGCCGCGGTTCAATATCCCGCGCGTATTTATTTGTGTAACGTTAGTTTTGATTTATTATTATTATTTTTTTTTTCTGTTCGCAGGCCGGTACGTGTCCAACCTGAGCAGCGCCTGCATGCGGTGCCTGTGCGAAGCGTCCACGGCGTGCAACGCGTCCGTCGGGTGTTCGCAGGGCTACTGCGGCCCGTACTACCTGTACCGCGAGTACTGGCGGGACGCGGGCAGGTTGGTGCTGCAGGACGACGACCCGGAACGGGACCTGGCGTTCGTCGACTGCGCCGCGGACGCCGAGTGCGCCAAAAGAGTGGTCGTCAGCTACATGGCCAAGTACGGACGGGTGAGTTAGCGGCGGCGGCTAATCAGTGTACGTTGGGTCGAGCGCGGCGGGGGCCGTGCCTCGTTCGGAGCCGCCTCCCCCGCGCGCGGGTTAACGCAAGGAAAGGTTAGGTTAGGTCAGGTTAATGCGCGGTCCGCGTAAAATATCCGGAATTATTTCGTCGGGACAACGGCGCGGCGTAGGTATTGTGAACGAAAATTGCACGGTCGAAAACGTACTCGGCCGGAACCGTTATTAAATCCTAAAAATAATTCGCCATGGGCGCATTTCGACGGGAAAATTCAGCGACTGTTTTACCCGGCAATATTTCATCCGAAACGTAATTTATAGGAAAACGTTCCGTATCAGGTTTATCAGACGTATTAAAAACGAAAGAACACTGAAATCAGCGTTGCGCTGAAATTATATTATAAACAGCTGTTTAAATGGTTAGTAGGATACGATAATTACTTACTGACCACGGTGGGCGGAGCTTTGAATAATATGTCTAGTCGTATAATAATAATAATATGTTATTGTATCTATGAGGTTAGCCACGAAACATTTTCGTACAAAGTACGGTTATTCGGTTGGAATTTTTTTTCCGATCAGATACAGTTCGGACAAAATACTTTTCCGTTTAAAATACACCTATCTTTCGATGGTACACCTCTACGTATTTCGATAACTCAAACGACCATGAATTGATCGGTTTCAGATCAGACTCGGAATAAGGCTACGTATTGTGGCTACTCAAAAATAAACGATATTTCGCAGTAGCTATTCAAAACCATTTTATTACAAATAAAAACGAACATACAAAATCGGGTCTCTCGGAAACAATACGTATACACGCATACGCGATTCAATCGAAAACCCGCATTGCCCCGTTACCGCGGTGCTCACAAACTTAAATATTATTTACGATGTGCTGCCTCTGCTCATTTGCTTCATTGGCCTGTATAACATACCGTTTGGCATAAATATGTACGGTTCAATTATTTTCGACATTATTATTTGCAAATTAAATATTTCCGTAAGTTATGCGTAATATGTTTGCACATCTATTGTAATCCCTCGATAGCGATGACAGGGGCGAAACGTTTTAAATAACTTAAAAATGATTAAACGAAATAATTAAATTATTAAAACCACAAGTTATTTTCTTAAAAGTATTCCTTTTTTTTTTTTTTTTTTTTTTTAACTTGAGGCAGAGAGAACAACATTTACTGAAATAATAAAGCAGACTGCATGTCTGCCAAGTTGTCTATAGTCACACAGCATACATATCAGACATTTTTGTTACAGATCTAAATTAAAAAGACACAGAGATGCATACAAATCATAGTCTAAAACAAAATAGAAAATAACTTACGATTTGACTTTTTTTTTACCTAGTTACTGTCTGACTTTGGATTTTAGGATATCGGATATGATTGTTTTTTTTTTTTTTTTTTTTTTTGTAGCCCGGTATTAAAAATCCAGAGAGTTAGCTTCATCTCCCCTTGACGTACAGTCGGCGGTCTACGTACAATGACGAACAAAATTGTAATAATTACGGGTATATTATATACTTACGTCTTGTAAATTCGTTCGTTTTGCGGGACACGGTAAAAAAAATATAGCATTCAATTCTCACAGTGGTTAGATTAGGTCACGGTTAGGTTACGTTGCCCGGCTCGGGTATTACGGAGATTCGGTTCCCGGTCACGAGGACATTTCCTAACCGGTTCCCGATAGAAAACAATTGCACACCTACGCGCGAAATAAATATTAAAAATGTCTAACGGTGAAAAAGTACAAAAAAAAATTTGAACAAATATTGAGCAACTGGCGAATTTCACGGTTCTCGATTCGTAAAAAAACATAATAGTATTTTGTAAAATGTAAATATTTTGTTATATTTTTGATAAAAGTATAATATTATAGTTGGAGGTTTTCGAATTTTTTTTTTGTAAACACATCGCGCCGTGTTCTTTGCGAGATATTCGCGGCACGCGTTTTAACCGTGAACAACGTTTTTTTTTACGATCATTTTTTTTTTGTTCCTTTAGGTAATTATTTAATTTTTTTTACGCCGACATATTAGGTAAACATTACTTGCGCACGACGCGTATCCAGGAGAGTAGCGGTACTGAGGCAACCGCATCCTCCACTCTCTGCCGAAATGTCGGTAAATCCTAAATTATCGAAATTATCGTTTTAAATAATATAAATACAACACACGGGTACTATACAATAAACTACAACACGCACCGTGTAATTAAATAGCCCCGCGTTCAGAAAAAAAAAAAAAAAAACAACGATGTATCCATCTGCACCGCCGACTAGCGAAATTTCACGTAATTCTTGTCGGACGTTAATATTTTCTAACAGTGCCTAGTTGAAAATGTTAAATTATTGGTCCTTGTAAATTATCGCGTGGGTAAATTTACGCATCCAGCACCCGGTGCGTAACCCTACTAATAATTATTGGTGACCTTTACCTCAGTAGGTTTTTCGGCTAGACGGATTTTGCGAAATTGCACGTTGCATTCTACACGGCAATAATACGCGCTGGTTGTTTTCGAAGAATTTCGTTTTTTGTCCGCCCGACGTTCGTGCCGTTTTAACAACGTGCCACCCACTTAATAATTTAAACGATTTCCGTTTTGGGGGAGAAGGGGGGCGGGTAGTGGGTAAGTACTTGGCCGCAAGAGTTATTGCGTCGGAAAGCGGCCTCCGCGCACTAAAACGATCAACAGGACGGCCGCGATATCCTTGACGAGCCTGGTCGTCTCATTATGCTTTTCGTGCACGTGTGTAATAACAATACATATTATGAATACGAAAAAAAAAAACAACAACGAAATTCTCGACGTCGACACATAAATACTGTAATAGCGATGTTTGTTGTTGTTTTCGTTGCGTTAATCGTTATGCGTACGGTTTTCGATGAATTAGATAACAATAATATGGCCGTTTTTTATTCGCATATCGCGTCGTTCGTGATGATGACGTGTTCGTACGGTTAAATAATAAAATATTGTTCCCGCGTGCAAAGGTCACCGGGGCCTCATGAACTAGGCCGTGGAACACATTTCGTTGTAATGTTATCATAACATTAATTTATCGCAAATTTTAACGTTCCGATTAACGACGCACGGCTCACCTAACCGAAGAAATTAAATAGGATTGGGCGGGGGAAAAAGGCTAATAAAAACCGTACATAATAATATAATATGGAACACTGTTTCGCATGCTCCAGTTGTATTAAAAATAAAATCGACCGTAAAACATTTGTGGCTATATTTTGGGAAATATGACGTGGTGCGAGAGTTAGGAATGAAAAGAAAAACTAACGATGGTGTACCCCGGTGGCATTGTCTCCGGACGAGGGGAGAGTAAGACGGGACATCTGTCCCCGCCCTGACTTGAAAATTTCAAATATAACTTTATTTCAAGTAGTTTTTGATGTTTGATTTTATCCTCCCAAATAAATTTCCTGCAGGTGCCCATGACCGGGAATATTGTTGTGATGCAGTTTGACAGGCACTTCTAAAAGATGTCGTCAATAGAAAATTAATGGACTCACAGTATATAAGCTATCTGGACAAATTTTTTTTTAACAACATTTAAGAAGACATCCTGAATAAAATGAATAAGGTCTTTATTATTATCCTGAATTTACAAAACCTGAAAAATTTACAAAATAAAATATTTACTTTCCAATATTTCACGCATAAACATCTAATAGTAGGTACTCAAAATTTCCCACAAATACCAATATAATTTACCTCAATAGTGAATTAGAGAGATGAAGAGGTAATATGACGATCAATACCAATCCTTTGTAAGTTTTTTTTAAAACTTTTACTTGAATTATGTATTTATAGGTACCCTTGCAAGGGCGTAACTAGTAGTGTGGTGTCCAGTGATACGTTAACAAATATGAGCCTATAATATTAAATACATTTTGGACTCCGCCACCCCCCCCCCCCCCCCCCCCATATCCCCCCAATCCTATATAATAAATGAGAACAAACGGAAAAATTTATAAAATATGTATGAACCCCGCTCAGAATCGTTTTTCGTTAGCAATGGTTAATCTTTGCGGATAGATATGCATTCAATTTCCTCTCTCTACCTTCTCAACTTCTCACTCACAACAGTGGCTCACCCATCGTGCATTTCTATTCGTTTTTTACTTATACTCGTATTGTTATTTTTCTGATTTTCCCATACGAATAAATGGTCTTAATTTTATTATATTTTTATCGTCTTCTATAGGACTGTAACAAAAACGGCGCAGCGGACTGTGACGATTACGCGAGAATTCACTTCAACGGCCGGGATAACTGTACGAGCATTGAAAAAACCAATTTCTGGAAACGGTACGAGGCGTGCTGGCCGGCTGACGGCAAAGGTGACAAAACAGTTTTTATTTGCCTCTATATTTAAGTAAAGTTTAGTAAAAAAAAAAAAGTTATAACCTGTTAAGTTAACTTTAATACCTTATCTATATGTATACATAAAAGCCAAATACCACTCAGTCACTGATCGCCATTTCTCAAGAACTACACAATATACGAACTTGAAATTTGGAACAGTGGTTCCTCTAGTACTTGTACTCTGGGTGTTCAATAAGAAAGGAATTTAAAAAAAATTGAGTTTAAGTGGATTAATTAATAATACTAATTCATCGCCAATACATAATAACAATTTTTAAAATAATCAACAAATACACATATAAAAGTATATAAAGGTATTATTTTTTTATTGTTATGGATTACCGTAGTAACACGGATGAAATAAAAACAAATTTAAAGGTTGGTAAAATGGATGAAAAAAAAGTCGAAAAATAATATTAAAAAATATTTTACGTTACAAAATTGTCCAGAGGTGAAGCCGAGGGTAATACCGGGTCCATTTAAGTGGGTACACTCATATTTTGTAAATTATTAACTTTTTCCGGTATTTGTTTTCTAGAATATTTGAGATACAAGCAGCTCTAAGATTTTATATTTATGTTATTTTTTATAACATTTATTTTTGGGTGTAAACCATTAACTACTTTTGATTTTCAAATGGCAATCTATATTAAAAATTCCATAAATAGGTAGAGTATAAAATAAAATTGGAGATAAAAATACAATTAAGTGTTGACATTTTTAATTTCCATCAATCCGTTGACGAGATATTCCACTTTTAAATTTGGATAATAATGCACCACTACTCTCCTCTAACCTAAACTTTAAAGTGGAATATCTCGTCAACTGCTTAAAAGAAATCAAGAATTTTTAAATTATTAACTTTTTAATATAGTTTGCCATTTAAAAATCAAAAGTAGGTAGTGGTATTACTCCCAAAAATAAGAACGACAAAAAATAACATAAATATAAAATTGTAGAGCAGCTTTTTTTTAAAATATTCTGGTAAACAAAATCCGGAAAAAATTAATTCTTTCCAAGATAGTGAGTGTACCCACTTAAATGGATCACTTGGTATAGCTAATAATTTATATAGATCAGAAAAATATGTAAGATTCGTCGATAATTTTTTTTTTTTTAATTTAAATTAAATAGAATAATGATAAATAAAATAATTCGAGAAATTAATTTTTCTCGAGACACCGAGGATAGCATTTAGTATGAAAACAAACTCATAATCTTTTTATTATTTCCGAGTTTTTTTTTTTTTTTGGTGAACAATATCAAATACCAACAATGACCCGTATAGTGTAACTCTTAGTCGGAGGATTTTCAAACTATATAGGTGCACGCCTCATTTGATTGTTGATTTATTCTCGGAAACGTTATTGGAATAATCCAAAAAAAATATATATATATATATTAAATTAAACACCAAAATGTAAAACACTAAGAGTATAGATTTATTGAACGAAAATTATATAATAGTACATAAAATAGATAATATAAATATATAAGGATATAGGTTTTAATAGGTTCTATATAATAGAATGGTATTGAGTTTTACATCTAATTTTTTATTATGATTTTTTTTTTTCTTATAAAATTGGTCGTTTGACTATTATACACACACAATAATATAGAGAAAAAAAACATCGTCAGACTTAAATTCGTGAATGATGAATAATAATAATAATAATAATACATCCTTAAAACTATTTTAAGAGAGCGTTCTACCACCCGAAATGTCATCATAAAAACGTACAGACAAAAATTACTTGGGCTCGATTAAGAAATCTCATTTTCACCATAGAAAATTTAAAACTTGCAGTGTGCAACGTTGGTTTTATTTCTTCGACATACCTAATTAATATTTAAAAAAAAAAAAAGTAATATTATTGTTTAAAAATCGTTCAAGTTTTCCAAACTCGAATAACATATTTTGTTATTGTGATATCGAATAACTAAAACTAATACTGCACAATGCAACTTTTTTTTTTTATATAGTGAACATTTGTTTTCTTAATATTAAAGCTCGCTGTTCTTGGTAAACATATTATTTATTAAATTCGCAACCATACAACAAATATCTACGCCCCGGGACTACTTGTAAATTTAAGATATTTCAAAATGAATTTGGATATTTACGAATCAATAAAGTTTAATTTTTCCAAAAATGCCGAGAAACTTGTTTATACACAAACCCTTAAAAACAGGAGGTAGCACGTCCTCTTAATATAATATTATAGTTTAGAAACACCGTACAGATATCTCATAGTATAAAACAGCTAGATAGCCGACTCTACGAGTAAACGGAAAATCTGGCAGCCGTGTATAATAATTATTATACCAAGAGTTTTATCGATTAACCCATCAAAATATTATGTTAATTGTTTATATCAAGAGGCGTGAATATTATGTGATACACGTTGGTTTATGACACGGTCAAATATTATAAACTGCAGGTTGCTCCTTGGCCTATTGTTATAATCAATGATGCGTGACCACCGAATGTCAGAGTAAATCAGCTGATCCAGTGGAATTGGAGCCGTAATCTATAATATACACTGGCGTTTGTATTATTCATATTAATTCGAATGTATTGTGTGAGCAGATAAATAATTTCGTTGAATATAATATGAATCCGTTTCAAATTGTTAGATTAAAGCCGTTTACGTGGCAATTCACACCTTCTCATACTTTGTTCGGCTTTAAGTTGATTAGTTGCAACTCTTCACGCCTGGAGCGCTCATGCCTAATTCCAAGTCCCGGCTCTGTCCGTTTGGGGCGGTCATCACGTTTTCACGATTAAATTGATAACGTCCTATAGCGTGTTATTTTTAATCGCGATTTCTGTATTATCTCGTAATTGATGTAATAAAAAAATATTTCATGGGTTAATCAAGAAAATTTTTTCCTCGTATATCATAATAAATACTAAATAGTTGCCAGGCTTCATAATTGTTATGTGACTCTACCTTACAGTCGGCTAGTATTGTTTTATTTTAGACATAACTATATGTGAGAAACACATAATATTATAAAATATTACAATATCCTATATAAATTAATAATAATATTATACGCTATACGTATAGGTACAAATATTTAAATCACAGAAATGGGGTTTTTTTTTCACGAGTGGAAGCCACATAGTATAAATAAACTACAAAACACAAATTAAAGTCATTACTATATTAATACTAATATATTAGTGTTAACGTTTTGAATATCATATTACACCGCGTTTCCTGAGAGAGGGTTTACATCTACACCTACGTAATAATTATAATTTATGTTCGCGGTGTATTTAATCGAATAATATTCTAATACCGTTTGTATCTCGCGTTTATTGGTGTACCGCTTATTTTCGACGAACGTTTGAAATTTTATGAGGATCCAGATCAAAATATCTCTAGTAAAAATAATATCTGAAATATTTCGCCAGTAAAATTAACTCTAGTATCATACTAAAATTGTAACATGATAATATTATTGTTGATATATTTCTAAACTAAATGGATATTAGGAGAATACTGCACCACGTGCATTTGTTGTCTCCACCTAATAAACGCACGACAAATCAAATTTGCGTTTAACAAGTACAGCGTTGTACCAGAATCTAAAATACTGTGTCCTCTGATACACTTTGTGTCCCCTGAATTATAAATGTGTGTCCCAAGTTTTAAACCGTGTTTTTAGTTTTAATAATAAAAATAATAAACAATTTGGAATTTCAGCTCAAATAAATCTTGTTCATACTAATTTAAATTAATCACAACTTTCTCGTTATCAATATTATACAAATATACTATAAACTCGTAACTATAGTCGAAGATTATAAATATTATGCAACCAAGATGTACTATCTTTAATCGCGAATATAACGAATATACCTTGTGTCAGTGGCGGCGTCAGAAATTTTACATCAGGTGAGCCAAGCTGAGGCCAACATTTATTTTTACACATATGTATCAATTCGAGGAGAATATTATGGTATAAGAATTAAATAGACATTGTATATTTGCTTTAATCGTTTAATATTGTACTGATTTTTTCGTTTCTTTACGTTTTTCCCGGTTCTTCTATGTTTTTTTCTCGGATTTCACATTTGCTGAGAAAACTCTTGGGAAAATCAAAAAAAAAATGACCTCCTAGAAGTACCTTCCCAGCAAGATTTAATTTCATAAAAAGTGTTATCATTGTAAATCGGAGCTAAATTTCTGGTAAAAAAGTTAACCACAGAAAAAAAAAATCGTAATATTTTATTAATATATTTCATACATTTTCCTATTTTGCTCAGTTTTTTCAGTTTTTTACATTTGATGAGGAAATTCCTGAGAAAATCGAAAAATGATACCACCCTAAGAAAATTTGCTTTCATAAAAAGGTTTACATCGAATATATGGGAGTAAGCTTTCTTGTAGAAATAATGTGAATATAAAAAAAAAAATAAACAAATTTGTATTGTAAAACCAATACATTCTACGCTACACTCAGAATCTAAAATATACCTATGATCTCTACATTTCTTCGTATTTCTATAAATAATTAAAAATATGATATGTAATTTAAAACAGAGTGGGCCAGCCGGGGTTCGAGAACATTTTAGAGTGAGCCGCGGTTCACCCTGGCCCAGCCTTGGAGCCGCCACTGCCTTGTGTCTACAAATATACATACTATGTAGGTAATCTCGAATTTTCGAAAACAGCTTACTATAGTTATTATTGTTCTGATGGTGTGTTCATGTAACTACCTATTAGTAAAATATTTTGAACTTTTACTTATATTTGTTTTATATATTTTTATTCCAAACGCCATATAATTAATATAAATGAGTAAGGTAAGATGTTTATAAAAGGGAGGACAGTTTTGTGTGTTAAACTCTCGCGGGTTTTTTTTTTTGTTATGGAAACCTGTCAAAAGTTACAATTGACCTAAGAATTGTGTCCCTTGAAATCAGATGTATTTTAGGCACTGCGTTACACTATTAGTTTTAATAGTATAGAGCGAGTTGACCTATTATCAAAATTAAAGGGAATAGTGAGATATGAGTGTGTATCAAAATTTAAAAAATGCTTATAACTCGCTTGAAAATTAAAATATCCAATTCAACTAACGCGCAAACATAAATAATGATTCTCCCCTTTGAGTTCGAAAATGTTGTGTCTGATTCACACTATAATATTAAAACTAACACAAATGAACACAAATTTGATTACGCTGACCGCGAATTCATTACGACGCGCGTCGTGCGTTTGTAAGACGGAGACGACAAAATATGCATATTGTGTAGCGTCCGCACTCGACATTAATTAAATTTATAAAAAAGGGTAAATTCAGACAAAGATTATTTTATCAAAACATTTTGTTTTAACAATATTATTAATTATTCTCCTAAAATGTTTAATAAATTTACTATCCGTTTTAGTTAAGAGTTAAATAAATATCTTATAAAATGTACTAGCAATAAAGGTATAATTTTTCTTTTCAAAGAAATATTGCAGCGTGTAATTATATGAGATAATATTTTGACCGGTCACCGTCACTTACGAAATCGTGTATTGATTACATGTTTTTTTGTTTCAGGAAAACCGAACCGATGATTTCGGTAATCCTACGGAAGACTATCAATGTGTATTATATAATACGCGAACCTCAAATACTATTTATAATATTATGTACTATTTTACTGTTATACTATTTATTATACGTCGATATTTAAAGTAAAAACTAATTATAATGTGTAAACATCCATAATGTATTTTGTATCGGAGGAAAATAGCGCCAATTGAGAAAGAAATCAAATTGGTATTGTATTCAGGGTAACGTCGGAGCCAGCTAATGATATTTAGTCGAAACAATGACGTTCTCTACATGTCCGTATTTGATAAACTATGGCTTGTTGTTTTTGAAACGTAAAAACCGCCAGAATTTGAATTTGTTCAGTACCCTCCGCAGACCGTTTTTCGATTGATTGTCGTGTCTCCGGTCGGCCGAGTCCAGTTTGCTGTGCGCGTATAGAAAACAGAAACAAATAACACAAATTTAGTATTAATAAATAGTATTGTGTAAAGATGAATTTTAAAATATGTATATTCAAGGATAATTTATTATCTCTTACATTTTTACATTTACGCGAAAGTGTTAATTTAAATATTTTCGAATCGACAAAATACGCGATTTTTGTCTGAGTGTCGTTAAAACTGCCTATACCGTACCCCTTAAATAATGGTAGTGTGGTATACAAGATTAATTATTATTAACGATAAAAACATAATTCGAAATTATATTAACTGCGATTCGTAAACATGTTTGTTATTATAAATATTACCATCGATTATTATATCGTTGGTTTCTGGGCCGAAGGGCTTAAGTCAATTTTTCGAGTTTATCTTTTTAAGATACGAACAATCAGTTCGTTTATGTAGTTTGGTCCATAATTTTCGTAATTTTTTTTCCGTTTTTATGAATTTGACTAAAGCTCCTCTTTTAGATATCCACGAAAATAAATAAATGAAATAGTTTGTAAACAATCGCAGGCCAACCTGTATTTGATGGTCGTCGATTGGCGGTGTCGGTCGTCCGCGTCGTCTTCGTCGTCATCGTCGCTGTCTTGGTCGTCGTCATCGTCATCGTCGTCCACGTCGGCGTCCACGTCGTCGTCTACATCGGTGGCGAACGGATCCGCCCAACCGGCGGCTGCACCGTCGTAATCGCGCCGCCGTAGTCCGCTTACGTTTACGCCACCGCCGACCGCCGACCGCCGCAGACGGCCCGGTTTGCCGGTGCCCATCGACCGGGACCGAACGGCTACGGTGCCGGCTGCGTGCCGTCGCCGCAGTTTGATCGGCAGGCTGTGCGATCGGCTCGCGGCGCCCGTCTTCGACTCGGTCGCGGAGCCGGCCGCGGCGTTATGACCGCCGCCGCCGCCACTGCCAGACACCTCCGACGATCTCTTAAGCCGCAACACCCGCGCCCGGCACACGACACACCGCAACGGCAAAGACCGCCGGGACACGGCCATCTGGATGGTGCGCACCAGACACTTGCGGCACACAACCTGGTGGCCGCACGGCCAAGTCTGCATCGTCGCCTTCGAGTTGACGCATATCACGCACTGCGGGAACATCATGAATTCAGTGTTTGTTATAAAGATACATTTTAAAACTTTAAGACAAAAAAAAAAAAAAAAAAGACAACGACATACGCATAATGGTAGGTTTGTAGGTGAGAAGTTGGAGAGGTAGAGGGGAAATTAAATATATATCTGTACGCAAAGATTAATCATGGCTTACGTAAAACGATTCGGATTAGGTTTCGGTTACACGTGTTTTGAAAGATTATATTTACGATTTGAAAACGACACATTTCGTAAATTTCCCAGTTTTTCCCATTTATTACGGTAACTCGACTTCTTCAAAGTAGCGCCCAGGTCAGATTTCCCTTTAGAAAAGTGTTACACTTGAAAATCGGAGCGAAATTTCTCTTAGAAAAGTTGTTAAAAGAAAACATATGTATAAACATCATTATGAAACCAATACATTCCTCGCTCCACTCAGAATCTATAAAATAATGGATAATCGCTATAATAATAACGTTATCTAGATGATAATAAAAGAAACGTGAGTTATTTATATAGATAAATACGAAAATATATAATTGGCCACGTTATTTCTGTGTAAAAAAAAAAAAAAGGAAGAAAAATGAGCGTTTTTAAAGCGTAGATACCGGATATTATTACGGTACGCGTCTAAAATTCGAAAAGGACGTGCGATTGATATTGAACTCAATAATTATTAATTTATAGACCGTATTTTATAATATTACGAACCGAAAGCATTTATCTCGGACAACTTATTATTTCCCATTTATCTGTTAAAAACGCGCACGTACACGTATACAGATATTTATTTTTTAGATAAATAAAAAACATTACACAGAATGTATTATTACACCCAGAAATGTGAAAAAGCAAGAAAAATAGGGGATAAATAATAGAATGTTTAGTTTCAAGTATACTAAAATATTTATTCACCGTATAATTCACAATTTTTTTTTTTTTTGCAGAGCTGCGAAATGTCGAACCAAGGCGGTTTATGAAATATTAGAGACGTGTAAGTCGTAAACATGATTTCAGAATATTAACGTTTAATGTTTCCGTTGTGTCCGTGTTTCGTTAATGAATGCCATACGATTTTTATGCGCGCGAGACTTTTATAAGCGTAATATTTCAAATTGGTTTTTTTTTTTGCGATAGAATAAAAATATTGTTTCCTGTCTCGTTTTTAATACTCCGGTCCGAGCAATTTTGCCGGAAACGGAATTTTACTCTCAAACCTATTTAGGTTTATATACATGGTACGCGGTGGTGGCGGGAACCGAGATTTGCATACAAAATTGAATTATATACGCGTAGAATATAATAATAATTCACGCCGTGATGTAAACAAGAAAATGAATAAATCGAGAATTCAATTTCGCAAAATATATTACCGACGGGATTTCGTCCGATAGTAATAAAATAACGCAGAAAATAAAATAAAATCGAACGTTCCGGGTTCAAATTATTATTATACAGGTACGTTATTTATTTGAGCGATGGAAAACTGTTGCTAGTCGAGTAGTTCTGAAGCGGCCGTTTGAATACGAAAATATTAAACTGACTCGGGTTTATTCGCGGGTTTATGGCGCTCACGCTACCGCGGTCCTATTGAAAATAATAACAAAGAAAAAGATACGGACGTACTTGGCACGGTAGGCGGGCTACTGCTGCAGGAGAAAAGTTGGGAGGGTAGAATATATCCGTACGCAACTATTAATCTTTGCTAACGAAAAACGATTCTGAGTGGAGTTCGGTTACACTAGTTTTGATAGGCCGTAATATTTACGATTTTAAAATAATACATTTCATACATTTTCCAGTTTTTTTCCATGTTTTCCGATGTTTTCCGAAGAAAACAGCTGGAAATGACCTTCTTAAAGTACCATTCCAATCAGATTTTCTTTCAGAAAAAAGTGCTACACTTGAAAATCCAAACGAAATCTTTGATGGAAAAGTTGTCCACAGAAAAAAAAAATAATAACAATAAACATCATTGTAAAACCAACATATTCCTCGCTTATCTTAGAATCTAAAATGTCACGAAATATCGACATTTAATAGTAGCGATTTCACCGAAAACGCATTTATAGCGTTTTAAATCACGATATGTAACTTTGTTTGGATTTGACCGTTATAATCACGATTTCATTAACAGTTCATGAACCATAATTAAAATCACGACCACCATGCGTACCCGGGATACAATCATTTTAGTCAGTGCAAACGTTTTGACTAATATTTAATTAGTCAATTAACACAACTAAATACGTAAAAAAAATATAAATTTAATTATAAAAAAAAAAAGGGAACGCAAACCCACTTTTGATTCGACTAATGTGTTACTAATTTGCACTTAATTTTTTCGATGATCTAACTAACACTGTAGTTTTCTTAATCGAGTAAAACCGGGGTTTCATTATTTTCAATTGTATTCTTATTTTTGTCATTCAGTTAAAAATATTTAACAATATTTAAAATTTTTCAGTTATTATACGAAAATTAGACCACCGCCGGGCGGCTAAATGAAAAGCTAAAAAGTGTTCAACCATGTCAGCAAGAGAAACTTGCTGTGAGTCCCAAGCCTGAGTTAATGTGGGAAAGAAAACGGCGATTAAAATATAATTTTATTTACCTGTAGTAACCTAGCCTAACATAAAGATAAGCATTTATTACACGGGCAAAGCCGGGCGGGACGGCTAGTTTTAAATATATCTGATATTTTTTTTATTAAGAAGCCAACGTCAAAGATAAAGTTAATAATTAAAAGTGATTATAGAGGTGGAACGGGCGTTGAGAAGAGTTAAAGTAAGAGTTTTGATCAGACGCATGTATAAGGGGGGATTTAAGGAGTTCAACCCCCCTCCCCCGAAATTTTATGAAAATTATAATGAAAGTAGATTATACACAGAGTCTCAAAAGTGGTCTGTCAATGGAGGGAGATAAATACAATTTCGGCTTTATTTTTATTTTATTACTAGATAGTAGGTATATATTGTTATAATTGTTATATTAGAATATGAAAGTGCACAACCTTAACTCCCTCTACTAAAATATTTTCTTGTAAACGCACCGGGTTTTGAGTTTGAATTTTAACGAAAATCGTAAAAACATGTAAAGATATCATGATTACTATGTATCCTACCAACCCAACTTTCCGCCTAAAACATTGGCACACCCATCAACAGTATCAGTTATTTTTTCACGATTATAATATTATATTGTATCAACCGCAGGCAAAAAAAAAAAACAACAACAACAATAACCGTTAACACGATTCTCGTTCGAGTAAAAAAACGTACTTTATGCAGATCCCGGCCGTATAAATGATATTATAAACGGAGTGGCACATTTGAAATCTAATGGCTCTTGGCTGTACGTAATCCATACCGCAGTGTTTTAATTAAAACGTACTTTTTTACATCCGAGGAGTTTGTTCAAGAAGACGAAAAATATTACAAATTATTATTATGTTTCAGGCACGGAAACGTGTATCACGTTAAACGATTAAACGTTTTCACTCGCTACGGGAAAAGAACAACCGCTGTAAAAACAGATACGTACGCGTAAATCGTGTAAGTACGTCCGTTTGGTGGTAGCGTACGATAATAATAATAATATATCGTTGGGATATCGAGAAGAACACGCGAGGAAAGTGAGTCCTCCGTACATTTTTCCTATATTGCAAACAATTCGGATAACACCTAAAAGTTCCTATTACATATAATACAAGTCGACTGTCGGTAATTGGAACCTTTGATATAAATTCGTTATAATCTCGTGGAAAATCTCGCGATAACCCGAAGAAAAACAATGCGTATTACGGCCGTGACGGTCAGTTTCTGAAAAGATAACCAATATTTGTATCTAGACGAATACAAAGATATAAGTAATGCCTACAGATTTACTTAAGAAAGTGATGAAAGATAGTTTTCAGTTAGGGTAACCGGATAACATAATATACAGGTTTGATTAATAACTTACTAGTTACCTATAGGCTATAACCATATTATTTTTAATATTTAATAATGTAAAGGTTAAAATCTGAATAGCCTACGTTTTCTAGATTCGTGGTCCTAACAATTACCGTGATGTGTGTCGCCACAAAAGTAAAAATACTAAAATTAGCACGAAAATAATACATATAAAAATCATAATAAATTTAAATCTTTGGAAAATTAACGTGGTCAAGTGTGTCATGATTTGTATGTATTTAAACATTAGAGTTTCGTTGTGAAAAAATGTTTAAAACCACTGATCCAGACGACTGCAAATAATCTTAGGTCGTTATCTTTATCTTTTGTTTACACCGAACAAAATAAATTGTTTATAGCACAAAGGTAAACAAATCGAAGTTAAAGTGACCCTAATTTATTCGTATTCGCTGGGGCCACAGGGTTATTAAAACTAAATAATTTTGTGTACCGAATTGTTATTAAAACTATTATATACAATGTACATAATCGTGTTATCTGAGCTTTTAGTTAAAACACATTTTTGGTGTTGAGGTAGAAAACTATAGTTGATTTGGAAAAATAATAAAATAATATGGATGATAAATAATATTCCTTTGTTCACCGAATACTAATCGGTCATCTTGACTTATCTTATCGTATCGTAGGTATTTTCGTGAGATTCTAAAAATGGGTAAATGAAACCTCAAGAAAATATTTTCTTAGTTAATATAAAACGTTATTATAATATTATATTTACGAGAACTACAAACTTGACTTTATAGAAGTGCTCATAGAAAATTATTGATTATAGAAAAATTAAATTCGTAAATACCTAGGGTTCGGTTTTTTGAATTGTGGAAACGCGAAGCTGCGGACACTATAATCGCCGTAACTCATAAATATGAAATCGTACGTTTTTATTTCAACGTTTGTTATCAGAGAGTGAATACGTTTTCAATCAGTCCTGGCAGATCTTGTCACTACCACAGAATATTATTAATGTTTTCGATTATTTTTTATTTTTCTTAATCTATTAGATATCTACTTTATTATTAATTTTTTTTTTATATTTTTAAATTATAAGGATCAACATTTATAAATATGTAAGAAATGTAGTTTTTTAAAAATATTTAAGTATAATACTAATTGGTACTAAATCAATTTAGTAATACATATATATATATATATATATATATATGTTTTAAAATACAGATTACAGGGCCTATTATATACTAGCCGGTCTGAAAGTGAGTAGTTTTTAGCACACTCGTTTAGAAAATAATCCTACTTATGTCACGCAATTATTCAAATTCACGCCTAAATTTAAATTATTTGTTGTAAATCAGCAGCTGCCACCCGCATAACTCTGTAAAATAATTTAATGATTAAATTATATTTTATTATATGTATCATGGATATTTATCTTGTGATATTAATATAAAATTTTCTCGTGCTATTAATATAAATGGAATACGACTTGCGTAGATAAACTATTTATAATAGACGAAATAGGCGAAATATGTACCAAACACATTTAATTATATTATATTGTATTAATTTTGTCTTTTATTTGATTAGACGTATATTATGTGTTTGCCGTAAAAATACTTGATATATTTTGTTACGTGTATAATCATATTGCCCTGTGATATAAAGCAACATTTTTCAATGTTATAATTAGTATAGGTGTATAAAATAAGTCATATGCAATTATGTATTATATTAACTTGATCTTCAGTAAACTACACTAATTATAATACATCGGTATGTGTGCTTTTAAAATCAATAACAACGAGTTTATTTACATGGGGTACCCATAATTAAACGTCCAAATCAAACAGTATGTTAATATGTTTAAGAAAAATTCCTATATTATTTTGGTTCATTCGCCTATACCTAATTATAGCTGCAGTATTATTATTTTCAAATAGAATTGACTAATTAAATAAAATTAGTAATTTATTAAACAATAAATAGAGCTGTCCCGCATTGTGCAGCATTAAATAATAGTAAGATCGACTTGAAAAGTAGCTACTTTGGAATTTTGGTTTTTGTTTTTAGTTTAGACACAAATTATGGTAATAACTAGCAATTATTTTAGATTCTGTGTTTAGCAAAACATTTATTGGTTTTACAAAGGTGTTTATTTTTTGTCTTTTTTATTTACTGTTTACAAAAATTCTAAGAGAAATCTTGCTCCAAATTATCAAGTATGGCACTTTTCCCGAAAGGAATTTTCTCGGGGTGGTATTTTTTGATTTTCCCAGGAGTTTTCACAACAAATGAGAAAATATGGTAAAAACCCAGAAAATAAATAAAATGCTAAACAAATATTATTAAAGAAAATACTTAAATTCTATTTAATTTTTTTACTATAAAATGACATATATATTGTTGACAAAGCGTTACTATAAACTGAACTCCGCTCAAAATCGTTTTTTCGTAAGCAATGGTTTATCGTTGATTACAGGTATACATTAAATCATCTATAACAGTGGCTGCACTCGTCCACGTTATCCTAGGACGTCTTTTTTCAAATACTTTTTATAGATTATGAAAAATGATTATTTATATTACAAAAAATAATATAATGACACATTCGTAAATTATCAATGTTACATGATGATTAAAAAAAAAAAAAATCGTTTATAATTCTAATGGGTGTGCCATTGATGTAAATGGGTAGCTAAGAAAGTAGGATATATAGATTTATTTAATTTATATCTGTATATGACGATAAAATCATTGCTAACGAAATAGGATTTTAAATGAAGTTTGGTTGTACACGACGCGCGATGATATGAAATGCCGTTATTATTAAAATATAATTTTAAACAGAAATCGACGATTCGTGTTAAATGACATAAAAACCCGAAAAAATTATTGAAAAATGTTTTTGATAAAACGAGCATTGAAACCCCCCCCCCAAAAAAAAATAACGCGAATCGCATTAAAATCTCATACAACTATAAAATGTATAATCTTCTATACAATTTTTTCTCAGTTATCTGTTTGTGATTCCGAGCGACGCTTTTCATTTCGTTTTATTTTTTATCGCGAAACAATCTTAGTGCGATGGTAGTGAAATATATTGCAATATTCAAAAAGTTTCGTCCGACTAAATTACGTTAGCTGAGACTCATTTAAAGTACCTACCCAGTACCTTTAGCTGGGTGAATGTATAGGTTAATGTATATTTTTGTTTGGAGTTTTCATTTTGACGCTATGTGAAAATCATGAAAAACCGAAAAAAAAGCAGAAATGTTTTACACATTGTGTGTTCCACTGTTGTAGGTGAAAAATTTGGGAATGTATCGATAGTATTGAAAGTATCTATCGGGTAATTTATTTTATATTTGTACATCGAAAAACGATTTTGAGAGTAGTACGGTAAAACATATTTTGATAAACTTAAACTTAAAGTGTGTATTGTATACACAAATAAATTATAATTTTCAATATTTTTTCGGTCTCAAATATTTTTCGAACATTTCTATGGGGCCAAGAAACAAAAAAAAACTAAAAAAAAACTAGACCATTTTAAATAACTATAAATAACTCAAAATCTTTTATAATGGTCTAAAATCTGTGCCATACATAGAAAAGACTTACATAAATAATTGATGAAGATTTTAGGTCTCTACGATTATTCTTACCTGTACTACAACAACAAAACAAGAGAAAATAATAAAAATCACGTCTTGTTTTCCGACGTTTTATTGTTTCAAATCAAAAGATAATCTTCCCAATAAATTTGTCTATCAGAAACCTTGTCTATTATCAACTTCCTTAGGATAAATAAATATTGTCTATTATATAAGCGAAAAGTTAGGCTGCGTTGGTGTTATTATACCTATTAGTGTATTCAAAAATTGATGTGGATGGTGTAGGAGGCAAAGCACCTCCACGGTTTAGGTTGAGTTTGATAATCGCAAGAGACGCTAATTGATTACGTGCAAAGGCGATTTGGGAGGTAGTGGTACACGCTTTGAACTACACACACACACTAATGTTTATTTATTTTTCACACACTGACACGACCCGTTTGTACCGGCCATATAAATTGCCTAAATCTTACTCCTTAGAAAATAACCAACTGGAACCACCTTAATTCCTATAGTCTCTCTTTATTTTTCCAATTCGAACACTGTTTAGAGTGAAGACCAAATTCTTTGAATCTAAAATAATAATACTTAAACCGAAACAAAACGAAGATTCATCCCGTTTACGGCATTTTTTTTACAACCTATTTCGTTATTATTATTATTTTATTTTTCTTCGTATCCATCACGGCGATGACTACAGGCGTAACATTTTTTTTTTAAATTTTTTTTTTTAACACTTTAATCTCGCGGAATAATAAACGGATATCACGGTGAGCTATCGGCCCCTGCGGTTCACCATGGACTCCCTCGCACGTGACTGTCCGGGCGCGTGGTGCTTACGACGTGTCCGGGAGTTGTCGGCCGGAAACTACGTTTACACAGAACGTACGTGCGATCGATATTTGCCACACGCTGCCGTAAGTTGTCGAACGGACAAAACTAGCATACCGGATCGCCCTTTGAGCTTCCTAACGGAAGGATACATTCCCCCAAATTAGTCTCGATTGTTTTAAATTAGGAGCAGACCGATGAGCGGTGTGTTGGATTTTACAAATCTGAGTGTTTTTTTTTTTTATGTCGGTGACCTCTTTTTCATCAAGTTAAAATACTCCCCGACAATTTTAATAAAGAATCGGATTTTTCGCTAAGTATCCATATCAAACATGTTTATATATTACTGAAAATTATTCTAAAAAAGAAAAAAATTAAACCGGATACCAAGTTTTACGTTTTTTTATTTTGTTTAATCACTGAACAAAAATACGATTCTTTTGCATGATACCGTGTGCACTACGTAAATGTATTTTTAGTGGCGGCACGTGGAACACATAGGCGCATCGGCCGTTTTGTCCGAAAAATTAAAAAATTAAATTTATTACACACACTACATTGCACGCCACTGACATCATAATAGTCATAATATTTTGTTGAAAACACTACGCCACAAGCCACGCCGTTTTAAACAATATTCATTTTTCAATGTCAAGAAAAATGATTACGAATAATAAAAGAAAAACTGAAACTGCTAATGGTTGTACTCACTGATTGCATGTGCAGTATGCGATCGGGCCCCGTTACCAAAATCTTATCGTAGATACTAAATTGTTGTCATTTGTCGATAACTACTTATCACACAGTTACAGGTACTTACTTACATAGTTCATAAGCATGCACCAAATTTTTTCGTCGGGTGATTTCTGAAGTGGATCTTATATCTACCCCCTCCCTCAAAAGAAAAAAAGAAAATAGACAATGAATGGAAATTATCAATTCAATTAAAATCATAGTGTCAATTATCTATGAGGTATCTATGTTCCACGAAAACATTCAACATAATATCTCAACAAATTATACAGATATACCTACCATAAAAAAATGATCCTATATTATCTTTTTTATATAATGAATTATCACATAAGTAAACATTTAAAAATAAATTATGATTATCATTATTACGATAAACCTCGAACCCGATACATTGATAAGTAATAGTCACAGATAGTGGTTGCCGGTTTGTTTGATTTAATGGTTAGTTAATAACAATTTTTCATACCCCATGGGTAAGCGTTTAATTAAATAAAGCCCAGAATGAGTAAATTTCGTTTTCAGTCCACGGACATGCACGGTGTGTGCCACGGCACACCTGACATACCTACTGCGTACGCATATACCTATATAATAATATATACCACATTTAATGTTAATTTGGTACGGTTAAACTAGATCAGACTAAACGAAGAAGAAGCGTGATAAGAAACAAAACGTAAAACACTAAATTTAATATCGTAAGAGTAGGTAAATTGTATGTATATTGTATGGACGATAATGCGAAAGTTATTCTTGTCATAGTATAAAACGTATAAAATTAAGTTATTATATAAAATTAAATTAAAAATAATTATAAAATTAACTCGTACTATACATTTTGTAATACGTACTAGCATTGTACAATACATAAATGATTTCTGATTGCTTACAGATACCAAAAAATAAAAAACACATCTGCTATATTTTAGATTCTGAGTGGAGTGAAGAAACTTATGGTTTTACAAAGAATTTTTTTTTGTATCTGTTAACAATGTTTCTACCAGAAGACTTGTTCGAATTTCTAAGTGCACCACCTTTTCTGAAAGGAAACCGGTGTAGGAAGGTACTTTAAAGAGGTCATTTTTCGATTTTCTCAGTTTTTCCAGCAAATGTGAAAAACCGGGATAAAACATGTAAAAACCAGGAAAAACGTAGGAAAATTGGTGAAATCCGTACAACATTAAACAAATATTATTAAAGAAAATATATAAAGCCTATTTAATTATTTTACTATAAAATGACATATATATTGTTGACAAAGCATCACTATCAATTGAACTTGGCTCAGAATCGTTTTATCGTTAGCAATGGTTAATCGTTGCTTACAGGCATACATTATATTATCTATAACAATAGCTGCACCCGTTCCCGTTATCCTAAGGTGTCTTTTGTTTTTTTTTTTTTTTTTATAATCAAACCAAGCATTCTATTCATTGTTGCGCGTGGCTCGATTGGACTAGCGTCGGTAGTGGGGCAAGGGGAAAACAGCTGCATTTTAATTGGCATAACTAGCAACCAAAACTACGTACTCTGTGATAAAATCGGAATCCCACGACACACGGTTGAAATACTATGCAAGGGCTCGCCAGGGGCGTCTACAGACCTTGATTTTGGGAGGTCGTAATAATTAAATTTATTATAAATGATTAATAAGAAAAAAAAAACACACAAAAGATAACAAAAAAGATTCTTAGCGGAACTGGGTTGAAAGTATTGTTCAGGGGCGTCATCGGGTCAATTCCATGGAGGGAGGGCGGCGAGTTACTTAGTAACTTAACAAGTTGCATTATTCCCGTAAATATTGAGTAACTGATTATTTTAAAAATAATCAAAAGTTATTCCTACAAAATGTATAGGTACTATAGTTTGAAAAACTAGATTCGACGAGCAAAATGCATGATAAGAAACAATGTATAACATTAAATTGAGTAATAATAATAATATAATAATAGTAGGTATTGTAGGTAAATTGTATGGATGTTGATGTAAAAGTTATTCGTGTCATATTACAAAACGTATACGATTAAAGGTACTATATTTTATATTTTATAATACGTATTAGCATTTTACGATATAAACATGATTTCTGATTGCTTACAGACAACAGAAAAAAAAAAAAAAAACACATCGGCCATAATTTTTATTTTTTATATATAGTCAAACCAAGGAATCATTGTTGTTACGCGCGGCTCGATTCGACGAGCGGTGGTAGTGAAACAAGGGGGAAAAGGCGGCACTGCGATTGGTGGAACGAGCGACCGAAACTATACGTAATTTGAGATAATACCGGGATCCCAACACATGGCCGAAATTCTATGCAAGCGCTCGCTCGTTCAGTTACAGTTACATTCAGTTTACGGCCGCAAATCGCGTCGGGTGTCTTATACTGCGTTATATAGTTTTATTTTCCCTAGCTGTATGTTTTCACTGTTCAATTCTACCCACGTATAGACTGGAATTATTTTGCGATTACACTTCGGTTCGTCAAATCTGTGAACCATAAAAAACAATGTCATCCGAAGACGACGAAATTTCGGTGAGTAAACCGTCGACTAATTAACGGTTTGTGTCAGTATTTTTGTTAGGTTGGTTTTGAAATTATAAATAAATCTTAACATTTTCAACGAATGAAATTTTATAACCGATCGTTACATTTTCAACGGATTACCTCCTGTTACATATTACTTGTTTGTCGACGTTATAAATGGTAAAACTTATAGTTTATATTTTATTGTTTTATTTAGTTTCATGTGTTTTTTTTTCAGGTAAAATACGAAAAAGTGATTACGAAGGATGAGTCTGGCGCTCACGCCAGTACTGGAACCGCCAACCAAACGAATACGGGCTTCAGGATTACTATCAGTCGAAAACGAAAACGAGAAGAAAATGACGAGGGAAGACCGGATATGGAATCTGATGAAATATTTTATATCTTTCATAATATTGTTAATAACATGGAGAGGACGATGGAGCACGAAGTAGATTCAGACCCAGAGTAAAAGGTCGACATAATAAAAAGACGAATGCGTAAAAAACCTAAGAACAAAAATAATCTAAAATTAAATTAAAAATATCGAAAAGTGATTTTAATAAAAACATATTTGTCTTATGTTGGTTCTAATAAATACGCATATTAATTGCAAAGTTAAGTACAAATTGTCTAGATGATTTAGTAGTTTATCTCAAATAACTTATTTATCATTTATCTGGTTAATGTAAAAGATAAAATTATACTTGTATAGATAAATGTATCTCGATAACGCATAATACTGAATGCGATGTCGATATCATAAATATTATAGGCGTGTACACGGGGGGAGGGGGGCAGAATGGAAAGCTGCCCCACCTGCGGGCTAAATTTTCTTCCAAAATCTGTGGAATTTTAATTATTATATTAAATTTGTAATTGAATTAATAATAAAAAAAATTTAAATACTTTTATCACCAATATAATTCAACTAACTAATAACCAAAATAATAGGTATTCAATTATATTACATATAATATTATATAATAAATAATATATATATATTCTGTCCTTCTCCCTGCATGCAAGGTCTGCACACGCCTATGTGTATTATTCATTGTAGAGCGATTTTTACGATTTTCATAAAATGTTGAACTTAAAACGCTTAAAAAAGAGGCTGATCGATAAATCGTTATATTTTACACATAGGCACGTTTTATTTTTCTGTTATAGTTATGTTCGGTTAAAAAAAAATAACATTTCTCTCGTTTCTTTTCGCCGCCAGATAAAAAAATATAACTCCCGGTTCATTCGATATCGAAAAAAAAATTACTATAAATTACGCTTCTTTTGTTTACATTACAATAATAACAAGGGTTTGAATTTGAAAAAAATAATTTCGTTATGCGTTATTTTGATTTAAAACGTTATTCATCTTGTGCGGTTTCTTATTTTTTCAACGAAATCGTACGTTAATATAATATATATATATATTTTTTTTAAATATGTTTTATTTATTTACAATCTATAAAATAATAAGAACAGAATGGCTCTCTGCAGTGCGGTTCTGTAATATTATCATTAAGTCGGCTATTACACAGTCACCTAGTATCTATAATGTGTATATTATTATTTATAAGTAATAACGAATGAGTAAGACTCGGAAGTTATTTCACTAAAAAAAAGCATTAAAATTGATTGCATTATTGCAGTCAAAAATACCCAAAAAAATCGCAATAAATTATTGGAATTACCAAACAAATATAAAAATACTCCTTTTTTTTGGGAAATAATAACTCGTTACTCTTGCATCGTCTTATCAAATAATATTTCCACCATTACCATCACAATCGACAAAGCCAGAAACAGCCATCGATTATAATATTATTTTGACATATTAATATCTGGGTTATTTTATTTCTGGTGTCAAACAAATTAAATCAAGTGAATAATATTTAAAAGTTTCAAAAATTGTAATATAAACGAGGAAAATCAACAAAATTGCAATCAAATCGAAACAATGACAAAAATTGCAAAAAGTTGCGCTAAAAATGTTTAGATTTTAATTCGTACATGCACGGAAAAAATTTAAAACTTACTTAGCGATAGACCGACCAATAGAAAAAAAAAAATGCAAATGCAACAACTTCCGAGCCCTACTAATAAGTTATAAATAATGACATTACTACCTATTGAGTAGTGAATACTGATTATTAATTTTGGCATGCTCACTTAGCACACAGCGCACTGGATACCGAAAATCGAACAACCAAGACCGAACGACACATGTAAACTGGTTAGGGTGACTGTGGTTTTTCAAAATAATTCTAAAATATTTTATTATAAATTACTATAAATAAAATTACCAACAATATTTCATCCGGCTTTAAGAGATAAAGCTCAAATGGGTAAAATTAGTGATAAAAATAATTCTAGTAGGTATAGAAATATTTCGAATATAAAATACAAAAATGGTATTAAATATTATTTTGTTTTACGTTTTGCGTTCTGTTTTGTTACCTATTTTTTATATTTCGGTATGCGTTATGTTAAGTTTAACGATATTTATTAATTTTTCGTTTAATGTTAATAAAAGTTATGTTAATTGGGTGAAAAAAGATAACATTTCTCGCTTTTCTTTTCGCCGCCGGATTAAAAATACATCTTCCGGTTCATTCGATATCCAATCAAAACCTAACCTCACTGAAAACGTACGCTTCTTCGGTATATATGACAATAATAACATATTGAATAACAAAATATGAAAAAAAAAAAAAAAACAATATTCATAATACTATAAACCTGCTTTTGAACAAAATCAAAACAAAAATAATAAATTAAATATTGTAACCACAGAGATGGATTTTCCATTCATACAACAAATATACATTTACATATTTTTAATCAAAAAAACTTCAATGTTCAATAATCGGGCAACTTCTAAAATTATTGTGGATTTTTTGTCTTTAATATAATAATTGATTTTGCTAAATTTCTATAACTACCTATTAACACAGTGAATTAGGAGACGCTGAGGAACGGGGCTCATCTACTATTTTGATTTTTTTTTTAGCGTTCTTATTGATACGAAGAGAGATGATAGGTATCTGTAAATAATGATGCTATCAAAATACACAGTATCATAAACTCACAGTTTTAGTTTTTATTTAGCTAAGTGCCTATATACTTTTATACTAGTATTATTGAAAAAAAAAAAATACCTACATTCTGAGTGAAGTTCGGTCAAACATATTATATTTACACAAAATCAAGTTTAAAATTTAAAAATTCGAAAATATCATATGCTTACATCAAACAGGTCAAAAATATTATGACAATTCACTACATTTTTTACAGGTTTCTTTGAATTTTTTTTTTAACCGAACTACATAAAAATAAAATAGAAAATAATGGAACCGTCATTGCCGAAAATTTTTCCGTTTTTTTTCATCTATAAATTATATAAAACAGCGTCCTGACTGACTGATTTATCATCGTCTAATTCAAATCACTAGACGGATCTGGCTGAAATTTGACACACAGATAGTTATTATGATGTAGACATTTGCTGAGAAAGGATTTTTAAAAATTCAACCGCTAAGGGGGTAAAATAGGGGTTTTTAGGTATATTTGGTACGAATATCTAATTGGTTATTTATTTTTATTTATTCAAGGGTTGCCTTGGTGTTACGGAAAATACAATTATTGTAATTATTATTATTACTTTTATTTACACTATTAGTTTATATAAGTTTCACAACGGAACACATTTAGTCCGCCTAGGATGGGCTTTCTACTTTCCACCTAGGTATTTGTTTTCATTCGACTCTGACACGGCCAAAACCAAAAATGAATATGGGTAAAATAATAATAACGAAAATTGGCACGGGAAACGACGGGCGTGGACAGCTAGTTATTAATACATCTATAATCTCCTAATGCGCCAACCGGACAACATTTTCTTTCAAAAAAGACGCTATACTCGGATATCGAAGCAAGGATTCCGTTTGGAAATTTGTTTACAGACAGACAAAATAAAAAGCATACCACGCATTATGTATGTATTATAGTGTAACCAATACGTTCTTTGCTGAGCTTAGAATCTAAAAATTATAACTTATACCGTTTTGTATGATCGAGTACTACTGGAGTGTTATAACACGTCGGCGAGTAAACAGGTAAATATCACGGTGGCGTATTCCTATCGTATTATTGTATACGAAAAACGCATATACGTATTATTATAATATATACACATTTAATATTTTGTATAGGTATACTTTTTTTTTTTTTTATAAATTTTTTCGGTGGATTTCGGTGGAGACTAATGGGAATATCGATGTATAAATGTATAAACTACATGATGTTTCCATCGGATTTTCTAAAAGTTTCGCTGAGTATGTACGGAGAAGTATTCGAGCAGCACTATAGTGTACGAAGGGAGTAGTTTTATGTACTTTTATTGTACTCTTATAGATATAGTGATTTTAGCGCCAGGAAATAGCTACACAACCATTCAAAACCTCTTATCGGCATATTTTCGCTATTAAAAAACGGCGCACTCAACCAAGACAGGGAAAATGCATTATGAATAATTAAAACATAGTTTTCGAAAAAAAAATTCTGTAAAACGCGAAATATCATATATTGAATACGCGATTTTTGTTTTGTCTTAACGTGAAGCCGCGGTACATTATAATATAAGCTGTAGTAGTACACAAAACCTGTAAAATAATAACAATTGTTATGAACAGAAAAAATAAAAATGCTGATCGTTTTTTTTTTTTTTTAAACCCAGTAATAATCTACGAAGATTTCGAGTAAAACGAATTTCGATTTAATTTTCAGTCAATAGTAATTCGTTTAATTTAAAATATTTAAAACGGTTTATATTTATTTCATACCGAAAACGCTTATACTGAATATTTATATTCAAATAACGAGAATATGACGGATTTAATAACAATAATTTATTCACAGAAATAAACTAACTGACAAAATATATCAATAGTGTTATAAGTATACTTTTTAATAGGAATAATATTTACATTAGAAACCATAAGTCGTACAAATTTAAAATAATAAAATCGTTGTGCCGTAATTTGGAAATAATCGTATGTTTTTTGATTTTTCCCAATTATAAGAAAAACTACTTTGGATATCAAAAAACAATTTTCTCTCAGTGGTTACGTATCAATAGGAACAAAACTGATCCTGTGAAATTTTTTGATCTGAGTAATATTTTTCGTAGAAAACATATTAAAAAAAAGAAACCGGGACGCTTCGTTGCCGAAAATATTAATCAATTTTAATTTTTGATTTTTCCATTTATTAGAAAAACTCCTTTAAATATCGAAAAACTTCTTTCTCTGTCAGCGGAAAAATATTATAAAGAATAAAATCGATCTTTTGTCATTTTTGGATTAGAGTAATATCTCTGATACAAAACATCGTGTTAACATAATAAAAACAATGAACAATGGCGTAACTCCGCGGCGCGCCGTAAATGTTTACCGTTTTACCAATATTTTTATTTCGGTTTCCCCAATTTTATCAAAAAATTGAAAAATGGGTTTCTCACTTCACAAACTAGAGACAATTAACTTTCAGAAAAAATGCAACACTCTATACTTTGGAGCAAGTTTGATGGTAGAAAAATTGCC